TATAATCTTTAATTTACGAGAAACCATGGTTACATAAATTAGGAGAGAACAAACTAATTAGGACAACTAAACAACAAGTTTATTTTGTGAAAACTTTATTATCCTAAAACCGGACCTGTCCGTTTAAGCATCTACTGCAGTATCATTTAAATACTTCACTATATTCATAATCCTTAGAATTATAATATTACCTTATTGTACTACTCTCTCTGGGTCAAGTTCATTTGCTAAAGTAACTTTTAAGAAATTGGACCAATGTATTACACACCACAGCATCACAGAAGTGGCTATTCAAGTTCACTGCCACTAGTTTCTTTCATATTTGTGTTGCATAACTAGTTAAGTTGCTCGGCCTGCGAGAATAGTGTTCAATTACAAAGGCGAAAACTGGCTTATTCTAACGCGATTAGCATCGACCTTGACAGCGTTCGTTTACTAGGAATGTAATACAGGCCTAATACGGAATGAGATATTTTAGAGGGAACTCTATATTGGATTAATAACATAGGCTAATGATTCCAGTTAGAATCTCTACGGAACTTGTCATAACGTAGACTAAAGCACTTGATTGAAGACACGTGTTATAAGTTCTTCACTGGAAACCTTGTTTGACGTGACATCGTTAATTGACAGAAAGTAATTTTCTGTGTTTTGTGAACTTGTAAGAATGGAAAGTAAACATAAGCGACTAATTTTTAAGGCTTTCGGCAAATGTGGATCCGGTGTAGGGTAAAGACATTCGTGAAGATGAAGATGACTGTCTTCTGAGATGTTGAACAGTGTACTTGCGTACGTAATGACCGACTTTCACAAGTGCCCACTGCCTCAATCAACGGAGTGATCACCCATCCCAGAAGACAATAATCTTCATACATGACGCCGTGAGAACCTGAAATGTTTCAATCTTGAAGATTTTCAGATAACTTACAAAATACTTTTATGCATTTTGTGGTCTTGGAGAATTGTTTATAGGGATTCTTCAGCCTTAAGAGTTATAATTGATTCGACTTCCTCTCCTCTCATTCAAGAAGCAGGTTAAATATTTTTCCTCCCAATATTCGCTCTGGCGCATCGGTAAATACACAATAACGTGAAGCCAATGACAGTTCATAATCTGAAGGTCAACGTATCGACTTTGATACGACACGCCACTGACTACTGCCAGCGTTCCGACATCACAAAACCATAAACTCTTCGCCGACCCGCGACACCCCCTCTTTACATCGATCTGCTTTGGTGTTCCCTCTACCCGCGGGCGACCCACCACAGTGTAGAACCCTCAGCACAACCGCGTTCCAACATGAGGGGGCAGGGGCTATCATTGACACGCGCAAAGCATTCCCTGTCTCTTTCTTACATCTCTGTTCCAATCTCAAGTGTCCTCGAATGTTCCAGACTCACTCTTTATTATCGTTAACGCACGCGAGGTCTGTCTATTCTGATGTACTACGAATACGGATACACTGCAATATAAAAAGGGCACCGAATACTGTGTTTTGACTCTGCCTGACTGACAGTTTATTTCTAGATTAAGACCGTGCGTATTCCAATAGGTACATCACTTATGTAGTATTCTACTTAAAGCAACAGCTTCCTATGACACATTTTGAGTGTTGATTGCAAAAGGATTACGGTTCAGTGTGTGAAGTGGGTACCGTGCACAAAATATTTCAAGGTCGCTTGGTTCATTCCGCCACACCCATAGCGGCCGTCAGCCTCATCACACGTAGAATTTATGGGTTTGCATTACGTACTCCTGACATCAAGTTCTGGTTTTGCTTTCAAGAAACGAATCAGGATTTCCGTTTCGAGTGGCAGCTTAAAAAGTATCGTACAAAAAAATCATCTGCGTTTAGAATCACCAAATCAGTTACACCAATAATACAAATATGTATACAGTCAGATGTGAATGAATATTTCACGGTAACTGAAAGCAGTGACGTGTTCTCTGGCGATAAGTCATGTGAATTACGTAATCCAACGCTTCGGAGAGACTGTCTGCATCCATCATGTCATCCTTA